TGTGTGGAAAAGTGTGCAGCGCCTCTCATGGTTCCCCGGTCGATGATTTCACCCCAAAATAGATTTAGCTACCCTCGCAAACATCCACACAAACAACCGTGATCTTTCTCGTTAATAAGCCACAGTCCCAGAGAATTTCACGCATATTTTTGCGTATCCTTTGAAGTTGAAATTGGAGTGCGTGCGTAGAACGTGACAGAAAAGGAAAACGACAGTCACAAATAGCATCATAATCAATATTGCTGAAAAAGGCGAAAATGTAGAAATGAGGAAAGACAAACTGACTTCAAACGAAGATAATGATCACAAATATATATTATGAGAGTATTATGTTTATATTAGGATATTATTAGCATTATATTGGAATGCATGACAAATATTACACGACCATAGAATGTAAGATTAAACATTATTAATGCAGTTGAAGAAATCCTTAACGAGTGTCCGAGTGAAAGTCTCCTCCTTCAGGCTGTCGGCTGGATGAGGCTACAAACACGCACTGGAAAATGGAGACAGGGAGACAAAGGCTATATGCCTAAGGCAAGGAAAGCGATCTAGAGATAAGCATACCATTAAGCATATCATCAGAGGCGACCATGAGTCGACCATCCACGGCAAACTTGAGACTGGCATTCAGGTACTTCAGAAAATATCTTTCAGGACCTTGACTATGAAGTTTGTATGACCTGCCATAGAGGACATAGCACCAGAATGGAGCCTCGCTTGACACAACATGATCCGCATCAAGAGAATATACAGTGATTCGGTATAAGTCTTGTTGAGAAGCTGAGAAGAATGACCTAGAGAAAAAGAGCAAAAAAATAAACATAACTACACTAGATGTGAATAAAATAATGGGGAATATGGTCACGAAGTATAGGATGCATGGGAAACTCGTTAAGGCAGAGACAGTCTTGAGAGGAAGGGACCGAGAACTATAAGACATTTATGGAAGCTTAGGTCGCAAGTGAGTCACAAAGTCGACTTCAACAAACAGAACCTCAGTATGAAGGTGATTAGGAAGAGGAACAAATGTGGATGAGTAACTGGCGGAACCAGATTTCATATAGTTTTGAAGAGCATGTTTGATATAGCCATTTAGGACAAAATTTTGTTGTAGCTCTTCGTGAGTAATTGGGGAAAGGGACCAAGAGTCAAGACTCGGGTACGTACATCTAGACGAATATACATAAGATATCATGAGAAAAAGTCGTGAAATCTCAATTTTGGAAAATATACATCGACAACTACGAAATATAAACTCCAAAAATGCAAATAATGTAACAATTTTAACAAAAATCCAAGACCACATTGAAAATCTTAAATTTGTTAATGTTTTACAATCTGTCAGTAAATTACACATAGGATCGAGCAGAGTTGGTTAATTATATAGAAGACCTATTTAATATATTAAAAGAAATATTACTGATAGTCAACTACTACTAAACAGAACTCACCGGGATGGATGACAAATGGCCACCCATTTTTTTTTTCAGACGTGATAAGCGAGCAACACCAATTGTGAACTTAATGTTTAACAGAATATAAGATTCATCAGTATAATTAACTACAAATTCTCGTATTAAAAGTGTTCATATTAAATTAGAGATAATGTATCTAGGAAAGTATGACGTAATTGAGGCTAAAATAAACACACGAATATAAACTAAATTAAAACAAAATTAAGGTATCTAAAATAGTATCTCAGAGAAATTCTATGGAATAAGAAATTGCGAACGAGTGACTGAAAAAAACGTAACAAGAAATGAAAGACTTAACAAGAGCTGATGCAAGTCATGACATTATTATTAACCAATTATTAACCAATACATGCAGATGCAAGCCCTAAAATTACAATAGAGAGAAAGACTCGCTATATCATAAGTTACAATTTTAAATAACTATCTGAAGGTAGGGTTCGAACCGATGGCAAGCCAGTCCTAAAACCAGCAGAACGGTGTGTTATCCACTGTACCATGCCGGCCTAATAAGACTCCTCTGACAAGGTATATCTTTATACACACTAGGAAGGTTAACACGAGCCCCACTCTGACCACAAGAGCAGGGTTTTATAGATGAATCTCGCACTAGCATGGCTGGGACAAGCTCCAGCTCAAGTCACATAAAAGCTGTTTTGAATGATACACGAAATCGTAATGGCTCGATTGTAAACATTGGACAACACACTGGCCCTCTATTTTACATAATGTTTTTAATTATTTTTTTTTAATAAAAATTTTATGTCCAGTTTTTGTTCTGCATTTGTAGTAAGTAATTGATCCAGAAAATAACTCTAACATGTCCAGTGCCAGTTTTAAGAGAAATATTTTAAGATAAATATTTTTTGACCAATTTCTCATATTCTCAATATTAAAGTCACACCAGTTTCATGTGTTGTTTACAAATGTCATTCATATTTCGCAAGACTTAATTTCTGGAAGAAAAGAAAAGTATTGCTGAGAATGCACTCGCTGTCCTCGTGAAAAAAAAAAAGTCATAAAAACGTAAGTTTTCGATTTTTTTTTGAGTTTCGTTTCTCAGTTATTCTCTGTCTACAATCATATAAGAAAAAATACTTAACTGTTTACCTTTAAGAAACTCTAGTCTGAAACCGTTCGGGAAAACCGTCTTCAGAAATAAATATACCGTACTCCTTCCAAGAGAAAATTGTCGCCACAGAGTGTATCGTGGTTCTGCCCTTAGTAAAAAAAATCTTAATGTAGAAGTATGTTCATTAAGATTTTTTTTTCTATTAAGAAGTTTCTTATTTATGTAAAATCTTTGTGAAGAAATTTTTAAGGGCAGGATGAAGGCGCACTCACCATTCAAGAGAATTTTCAAAAAAGGTCTCGAAAAACGAGTATACGTTGGTGGGAACCCAGCGGATTCAGTTTTGGAGAACGTTTTCTCAAATGGTCTGGAAAAATGCTGGTGCTTAGGAAGGAGCTTGGCTCATTCATTTTTTTTTTGCGGGGGGGGGGGGGGGAGAATGATTTCAGAAACTGTCTTGAAAAGTGGATTTCCTCTCGTCGTTCATGAAATTCTCCTCTTTGGAGGCAGTCTTGGAAAGTGGGTGTCCCTTGGTGGGAACATATAATAATTTTTGGAGACAGTGTTGCAAAACGTTCTCGGAAAGTGAGCTTGCTGAGGTAGGAGGAAGAATAATAGATTTTTGGAAATAGCATTTCTAACTGGTCTGGAAATTTGAGTGCCTTTTTGGAGGCCGTTTTCAAGAAATTTCTAATTTTCAAAATTGCTAATAATCCCTCTACCTTCTTTTTTTACATAATGTTTTTAATGAATTTTTCAATGAAAATTTTATATCCAGTTTTTGTTCTGCATTTGCAGTAATTGATCCAAAAAAATAAAAATATCATGTCCAGTGCCAGTTTTAAGAAAAATATTTTTGGGCCTCGCTAAATATTGACCAATTTCTGGCAGTCTCAGTATTACTCAAAGTCGCACCAAATATATATTTGAGATAATAAAAATGTAGAATTAAAAAAAGACGAGAAAATACAGATAATTTTCGAATATTCTGAATCTTTGTATTTTAACCTTTGTCTCATTATTGTCGAGTGCCTCTGTAGAAGCTGGCACTGCAGAAGCTGGCACTGCAGAAGCTGGAAATTTGGAAGCTGACACCATGGAAGCTGGCACTGTGGAAGCTGGCACCGTGGAAACTGGCACCGTGGAAGCTGGCACCGTGAAAGCTGGCACTGTGGAAGCTGCCACTGTAGAAGCTGGCACTGTGGAAGCTGCCACTGTGGAAGCTGGCACTATGGAAGCTGGCACTGTGGAATCTGGCACTATGGAAGCTGGCACTGTGAAAGCTGGCACTGTGGAAGCTGGCACTGTGAAAGCTAGCACTGTGGAAGCTGGCACTGTGGAAGCTGGCACTATGGAAGCTGGCACTGTGAAAGCAGGCATTGTGGAAGCTGGCACTCTTGAAGCTGGCACTGTGACATTCACATATTTTTTTTACCTTACAGCGAAGGCTACAAATCCTTTTTTTTAAGGAGGAAATTAATGGAATAAACAAATTTACCATGTTAACTGTCAATTTTATGAAAAATTTTTACCCCAAAATTCGTTAATATCTCACAAACGTTTGAGACTGAAGCCTCGTCCTCCGAAAAATTCAGAATTGTTTAAAATCACTCCAAGTGTATTATAGGACACAATAAGAACGTTATTATTATTATACAGTTGTGGGAAGAAGAGAAAAATACACGTAATTTTAGCAGGTTGTAGACTTTTCTTAACCTTTGTCTCGTAAATATCGGAGAGACATTATAAGAAGAAGATATTGGCCATTTAAGAAACATTTATATTTTGTCAAGCCTAACTTTTAATGAAAGCTTTGTAAACAAAAATTTTCACTTTTTTGTTTTTGGGGGGAAGGTAATTTTCAGCAATGATTAGCCCAGAGATACATCACAAATGTATTCGTTAATACATCATAAATACCTTCCTCTAACACCTCACAAATGTTTTCCTTAATTTCTCACAGCTGTATTCCTTAACACCAAATAAATGTTTCTCTTAATATCACACAAATGTCTTCTATAATACCTCACAAATGTTTTAGATAATACATGACATGTATCTTCTATAATACCTTACAAATATCTTTTTCGATGGCGCGGCCTTCACTTGGTGAAGTACGAGAGGTACTGGAATGAGAAACATACGTAAAGCGCTCTTACTCTGCTGCATTTGTTTTTCCTTTGAGTTCGCTTTGCTCTCCTCTTAAAATGGGCAGGATTGAAACTCATGTTATGCCATTTCTAAAACCAGCAGACCATTGCTTCAGCAATTATACCTTGCTGGTTTAATAAGATGTCTGAACGTGACTTATACACCTAGTTAATGCACGATATACCTTAATGTAAAGAGACATAAACAGTTCTTCTCGGCACATATCCTGGATATGGACTTGCAAGTCTTCTGCTATCTTATCATGGAGTACATAATATAGACTAGGCAGGTTAGTAAGGAGCCAACTGTGACATAAGTTCACCATGAATTTCTCTCTATTTCCCTTCAAGTCTTCTCTCAAAATGTCACTTTAGGTTGTACTCCTTAAGTACCCATAAAGACTGCTGATACGACATGCAATCTTCTCTAAAACTAACTTGCAAATGGAAATGTTCACCCATTTCCTCCAGGAAAATCCTTTTGTGTTATATTCCCGCTGTGTGTGTTCAGCAGAAATTTATGGATATAGGAAAGTGGGTGCGGGGGAAAGGAACGATTGGTGGAATGATGAGGTAAAGAGAGTGGTGAGAGAAAAAGTTAGCATATGAGAGGCTTTTACAATGTATAATAATGATAATAATAATAATAATAATAATAATAATAATAATAATAATAATAATAATAATAATAATAATAATAATAATAATAATAATATAAAAATATATTTTTTTATATTTCTACAAATACATTATACATTATACAAGCAAGCATCGAACTTAAGCTAAAAGAATCCTTTAGGAGTCAGGAATCGCGGGAAGAACTAAAAGCCATAAATGAAATCGAAAGAAACCCAAAGTATTTATTCTCCTATGCCAAATCAAAATCGAGAACAACGTCCAGTATTGGGCCCCTACTTACACAAGATGGGTCCTACACAGATGACAGCAAGGAAATGAGTGAGCTACTCAAGTCCCAATATGACTCAGTTTTTAGCAAGCCGCTAACCAGACTGAGAGTCGAAGATCAAAATGAATTTTTTATGAGAGAGCCACAAAATTTGATTAATACAAGCCTATCCGATGTTATCCTGACGCCAAAT